CTTGCTCCTTAATAAAAAGCAAGAGTCTCTCTGTTTGGAACCCTTTCTTAATCAGTGCCGTTCGAAAAGTAGATGCTACAAAAGTTTGACATCTGATGCACATACACAAAAACAGAAAGAGCAAGAGAGAGAGAGAGAGAGAGAGAGATAGAGAGAGAGTGAAAGTTCTGCAAATTAAAACAATGTCAGCAACGTTGATGCAACAATTTGCTGTGTTGCGCGTTGATTAGAGTTTCCAGTGGGCCGTGTATAAAGCGAGTTGCAAGCACGCCTAAGCGGCAGCCATATTAATTTTTCATTTCCCAGCTCAGTTCTTTCTATCCAGCTATATTTTTGGCTTGCGTTTCCTAAGTCGTGTACCCATTGAAAATGAGCAACGTAGGGCGTTCTCATATTTGGTAAATTTGGCAAATATATTCTTAAATAAAATAAGCCAATGAAAAACATAACAAGTCATAGATATATCTGCTTAGTCTCGTAAAATACATATCCTTGACAAAAACCTAACCTAGAGTCTTTATATGTAACTAGATATGTGTAACCTTTCCCTTGCAAACATGTTCGTAACGTTAAATAATTAAATTATTTTATGTCAGTGCTTCATTATTAGATCTTTGCCTAAAGTAATCCCTTTGATATAGCGATTCTTATATAATACATTTCTTTATTGTTGTTCCCATAAACTTGTTTATTGAATTCCAAATTATTTCTTAATATTATTAATATTGTTTAGCAGTTTAGTTATATGTTCATTATACGCGTGTGAGGAAATCGAGGCATATACAGACCCACATTTGACTATTGGACATTTTGTTACAGGGTATCTGCGAGTCAAGCACTTTAAAATATATGAAACTATTTTTTCCCTATTTCTCTTTGTTGGCTGCATTTTGTATTTTGGTTTTATTGCTTGGGCTTTCGTAAATCTTTCATCAGTCGTGGCTGATCCGTTCATTCTGCTCGTGGATGGGCGCACGATACCAGCCAGCATCCAGCTGCTGGCATCATTTTTCCACGTCCTGCAACTTGTCGTCTAACCTCTGGCATTCTCATCCTGCTGCTACGCTTGTCACACTATTTATGAGTTTATTATTTTTTCGCTGCTCTATTATTTGGCAGCTCCCGACCAGCGCAGTGCTTAAAACTTCTTTCATTACAAGTGCTGCAATTTCTCATAGTTTTATTTATTATTTTCGCTTTTTTTTTTAGGGCGGTTAATATTTTTTACCCCTTGCGTTTATTTTGCTGTTATTTATTTAGTGGCTTTATTTTCGTTACTTTCCTTTTTTCACCCTTTTTCGCAGTTGCTTAAATTGTTTGCAATTTTTGTCAGTTGGCGGTTGGCGCTGCGTGTTTTATTATGAGAGCCACACGACGATAAATAGTTCTCTTCTCCAACTGCTGTTTTTATTTATATTTATTCTTTTATTTTTGCTGGGTTTTAATTATTGCCATGTTGGTAGTTGCAGCATCCCACAAATGAGAAATTTGTGCCAAAAAAGAAAAGGAAAATCTAGTTATGAGTAGTTGGCAATTTGCTGCAGCCAATTTTCTGCTTGGTCAACTTATGAGTGGGGATCGGAATGGGACATTTTAACAGACACTGACAAAGTCTTCACCTGCCAATGATAAGCTAATAAAGTTCCTTTGGCAACTTTATAAGCTTTATTAAAAGACATTTTTTAATGGCCAAAAAATGTTTGGCTCATTAAAAGATTTACATTTCTGCTTTTAGCTACTTTCATTTCGTTTCCCAGCTCTGAATATAACCAAATTCTTTTCTTCCCAGTTTCATTCATCTGGTTGTTCTGGTATTTAGTAGCTAACCGTTTTTACTTCCAATTCAGAGATATCTCTTTCTATCATATTGACACTCTACTTCTGTATATTTCTCTAATTATTACACTTTTTCTTTTCTTTATCTTTCTCGCTCTGGCTCTATGTCTCTATGTCTGTCTGACTCTCTTAGTATCTCTGATTCTGTTTTTGACTCTGCGCCTCTCAGTTCCTCACATTCTCTCTGACTCTCTTTCTCTCTGTATCGCTGACTCTCCGCCCATCTGAATTCATCTGTCTCTCTGTCTCACTATCTCTCTGAATTATTCTGTGTCTGTGATTCTCTCCGTTGTTTCTCTGACACTCTCTGCATTAAAATAATATTTAAGGACCTTAAGAACCGTTGAAACTACGTTGCAACATATCTTATTACGTTTTGGAGAGAAAAATAAAATATTTCATTACTTCTACTACATATAAGTAATTTCCATGTAAACTCATTTTGAAGAGTGCCAATATGTTCCCCCTTTTAAAATTTTATGTTAGCCAAACATTCATTTTTAAGAGTATATTAAAAAACTCCTTATTTTGCATGAAAACTTAGGATATGCTATCAATTTAAGAAAACTGTAATTTTTCAAACGCCCCTTAGTACATAAGTATACCATAAACTATGAGAACTCTTGACTAAACTTTACAATCACTTGAGGGAAATGTCGCTCGTTCCCTCCATCTGAACTCATCAAACACAAAAGTTCAACTTCTTTATTTTGGCCAAAATCAAGCCAAGCGATGTGTTTTACAACTTTACAAGATGCCCTAGAGCAGTTGGACAAAAAAGAAAAAGATTTCTTTGCCAAGTATTTACCACTTATATGCATAAAAAGTGCACCAACAGACGCGCTGCCAAATACTTGAGCATTTATTTCATTCACTCCAAATGCAACACATACAAAGTTGCAGAGTCAAATGCAACAACAGAGTACTTTGCCACACCTGACTTTTAATAGCAAATGTAAGGAAATAAATCAAAAATATTTGCTTTTAAAAAAATCCAAATATTTATAAGATTTAGAAAAGCAGGTTTACTTCCAAATAAATTTATAAATTGAATTTACAAATTGGATAATTTTTTAGAATTTTCAGGTGCCAAATTAATTGAAAATTTAATTTAATAAATAAAACTTGTATTTGTTTAAAATATATGCAACATATATATATTAGGTAAAGAAGCTTATCATTAATTTGCTTACTCTACATCTGAAATGACAAATCAATTGTTTTTGATGTAAATTTAAGACATGTGCCTCTTATTTAGAAAAGGGAGCAGCAATTTAAGTGGACTGTATAAATAAAAAGATACAGCAGCAGCTGGCGTAAAGTTCATCAACAACAACAACAATATTGGGTGAGTCCCTTAGAGCAACAGCTGGACTTGCCCATTGGACAACACGCTGTCCGTCCGCGTCCTGCTCTCCAATATCCGGTCAAATATTTTTGCAATGCTTTGCTTTTCACTTTTACTTTTTTTTTATTAAAAAAACGGAACCAGATATATCCAAATATGCATATATTATTTATACTTGTTTGTGCGTATGTAAATACTCTGTGTACACAGTTTGTCCTTTATTTATGTCAGCCAGCGGCAGCACGCGGTGTAAGCAAATGGGTAACACAAGAGCTGAAATGTGACTATAAAGACGGCTTATCTGCTCAAATATTTGCGAACAGGCAATTAAATCATATTAAAAAAATAGTTCGATTTCGTGCAGCATTTCTCTTGCATTTTTAACATATAAAATCCATCTTAATTAAAATTTTAAAAAATTTAAATTGAATTTGAAAATAGTCACAAATGCAAGACTGGCGAATACTAGAGCTGCGTACTTTTGAGTGTCAAAATAATCATGAATCTGTAAAACAGATGACAATTTATAATATACATTCAAAAATTAACACACAGAATAAATGAATCTTAGATATTAAATTGAATGACACATTTTAAAAATTTCTAAGCTCGAATATTATAAAATATTTAAAGATGATTTCTTTATTTCCGAAATATGTGAGTTGTATGAACCTAAGTTATACTTTTGGGATTTTTATTAAAGTTAAATGTTTCATTCGAGAATATTTTTCCCATTGTGTGTCACTAGATTAATAGATGTTGACTTTATCATCTAAATACTTTAGTAATAATACTTTTTAATAATTTAGAAAACACTTAAAAGTATCTCAATTTTAGATCTAACTAAAGAATCTGAATTATCGATCTTTTGAAATAAATATTTAAATGGTATAATAATAAAATAAAATAATATAATAATTTAATAATATTATATAATATAATAATATAACAATATAATAATATTTAACATCTCTTGAGATTATCACTCAACATATGTGAAGGTATATGAAAGTATGTAATACTTCTGATGATCAGCAAAATTGTGTTGTGAAAGTCATTTTTCGAGCTATGAGAACGTTCCAAAATACGCACTCACAAACAAACACCCCGACAGCAGCTGCTACTGTGGAGGCTGCTATCGTTATTGATGCGCTGTTCGGGCTGTTGGCTGTTGATTTTGCTACAAAACAAATACGCGACGGAGAGACAAGACAGAGCTAAATAAATAACATGTAAAGTCCAAAACTGATAAGGAAAACGGACGTTAGTTGACATATGAAAACCGAAGCAAAATCAAATCTAATCAACTGAGATAGAGAGAGGGAGAGAGAGAAGGACAAATGCCAGCAGCACAGCTTCTGCAGTTGGCATTCATTGATATATGGACATAGATAGATATAAATTCTAGATGCTATACATATGTGCAAGTTGATATGGCAATGTCAGCGATAGTGCCGATGATAATACAGCCTGACAGCCATTAGAATGGCAGATGGCATGCGTGCGTTTGGGCTTGGGTATTGTGATATACGCGCCGCAATTTTCATTCACATTCAGTTTTCATTCACCGACGCATTGCATTCGCCGTGTAAGCCGAAACCGACAAAGATGCTGGAAAATGGACAGCGACAGCGGCCGTATCTATCTCTATAGCAGAGACAGAAACGAGCCGAACCAAACAGAGAACGAGACTTCAAATCCGCATTGTGTGTGCGTGTGTGTGCTCGTCGGGCTCAACACGAGTCAGGCACGGACACAGATTGTAGCTGCCAGCATCAGCAGCAGCCAAACAGCAGCTCATTCGTGTTTTCCGCTTCGTGCAAAGCGGACGTTAGTTCACCTTCAATAGCGTCGAGAATCGAAAGTCAACAGGGTTTTGCGCCGTGTTAACCGGAAGTAAGGATAATTTTGCACAGTGTTGCTCTTGTATGGTGTCTTGTATTTTATCCTGTTGCGCCGTCGCATTGTTAACAGCTAAGCCAAGCTAAACTGCCGAGCCATTCAAAATGGCGATAGCCTCTGCCTCTGTCTCTGCTTTCTCTGTTAGCAATCGCGTGTTTAACGCACCGGAAGTGCTTTCAGAGCCGATTAATGCGTTGCGCTTTTTGGGCAAAGCCAAAATGCATCCAAATGTGTAAATTCGTGTAAAACTGTGCGGAAAAAACGGCCTAACGAGTGTGAAAGCAGAATGCAAAGAATGTCATTAAAGCCAGAAGCATAACTCAATATTCTGAAAAGCTTTAAAAGCGAAAAACAAAAAGAGCCAACAACAACTTTTGCAGTAACTGGCAAAAATATAACCTTAAATAATTGGAAAAACTGTGCCACATGTGAACGCAATGGAATGAAATAAAATTTTTGTACAAAAATTCAACGTGTTCAGCGCTCGATTCAATCAACAGACGATAAGAAAGTTCAAAAGTTCAACATTGAAAACGGAAAATATTTCTATAAAAGTTTTAAAAATATATAAAATTATCGCGTGTGTCTACTCTCTCTGTGTATTTTGTTTGATAAGAAACTGTGAAAGAGACGAAGAGAGAGAGAGAGAGAGAAAGAGTGCTCATCAATACTATCTAACAACATTCCCATTGCAACCATCAATGAAGATGCAAAAATCTATTTCCACTTGACGCTTGTTCAATAGTGCTTCAACCTGACAACAAAAACAAATATGCAAAACTGAACCAAATGTGCTCTAATTAAATGCAACACTTTAATTGAAATTGAATTTTATATTCCCCAATTAAATAAAATAATAATTGCAAAACGTGTTAATGTCTAAACTGATAAGTGGCTCTGAAATGCCAAGTTCAAATAGGAGCAAAGCAGCTAAGTGAAAGACACATCAAAAACTATTTCATTATTTTATAAAATGTGAAATTGATAATCAACATACAAAAATTTGTCGCCCTTGGCAATTCTTCAAATGTTTTTATAAAACATTAGCATATGCAAAAACTATTTTCCATAAAATTCAATTATGAAAATTTGTAATTTCTTCATACAATTTAAATTTCATTTTCATATTTTTTTAGCAATTAAATATTGCATATATTTAGTTGTAAATAACAGCCAAAATTAAATATTTTATAAAAATATTCTGTGTATAAAATATGAATTTGATAACCCACATTAAAAAAAATTTGTCGCCCTCGGGCATCCCTTCAAATGTTTTTGTAGAACATTAACATATGCGTAAACTGTTTTCGATGAAAACTCAATTAAAAAATTTGTAATTTCTTCTGTTTGTTTGCTTAATTTTCAATTAAATATATATTTAATTGTAAATTAAATAAATTTCAAATAAATTTTCTACTAACTTTAGTATTTGAGTTCTATGTAAGATTGCAATTATAGATTAGTCGCTTGGATTTCTAGCATCAATGATTAACTTTGAGGAAGTTACTCCGTTCCGAGATGAGCAAAACACAAGATAACAGTACAGATAATAGGTTCGAATGTTTGTGTAAAGATTATAATACATTTCTTTACTTTTTCGAAAGTTTAAATAGATTATTAACCTTCATTAGATAAGATGCCGAACAAATACTTATTTATGTCCAAAATTAAATACAAATCAGAATGATTTGACACAATTCTAAATTTAATTGGGAAGTGAATTCAAGAAAATAACTGATTAAGAGCCATTTCTTTATTTCTATAAAATTAAATATAGAAACATATTAAAAATGAACGTATGTATATAGTATATATATACAAAAGCACATTGACAAAATTAGAGAGAATATATGTACATATATATATTATATACACATATTATTATATATATAAATAATATTTTATGCCATTCTAACATATATATTTCTATGCTACATACATTATATAATATATTCCCATTTTTTCATTTACTAAATTGAAAATAGTATGTATAATTGCATTTGCCTAAGGAACATCGTTACCTGCTCGATTTTGAGTATATTTAATATAAATTTACAGCATAATTAAATTTATTATGCTAACAAATTTTACACATATGCACGTGTTCGAGATAAGTTATGGCTGTTAGTGGCGCATAAGATAGTTATTGCCCAAAATTCTTCGCACCCTCTTAAGCTGCTGTCAACTGCAGAAGACATACTATTCTAGATATATATCTATATATACATATGTGCATGTACGTGTGGAACATTTGTTCAAGGCAAGCCAACTAACTGCAACTCGTTCACTTTGCTTAACTTCCCGAAAAATTTGCGCACAAGTGGTGCAGAAGACAACGGAATCCAAGTAAAAGACAGCGCAGTTCCTTTTTTCTGGCACCTACACTCAGGTGGTTTTTTTTTGTATTTTTCTTATTTGCCCGTGTACCACGCCGCGTATGATTGTTGCGTTCAAAAATTGCATTTCAGACAGCAGCGTTTGAGAAAAAAACGTTGCATATGTATGAAGTCTCTGCACGTGTATGTATGTGTAGGTGTGTGGGAAAAGCGACAAATGTAAAACAGTCAAAGATGCTATTTTAAAAGCAGGTAAAAGCAACGCCCCAGGTAAAACGCCAACATTATTTTCGTCTTTTGCCATTTGTGTCTGCTCACATTAAAGCTAAAGGCAATTATATAATTTTATGGAAAACATTTGCACACTTGTTGTTTAGTCCAAATCAAGTGAAACTCAAGTGCTGTAACTATAGAGGATTCCTCTTTCATTTCTTTCTTTCTCTGTGGACAATATTGTCTTGTGCCAAGCGCATCAATCTACTTTAACCCGAAGGGGTTTTTAGGGCGTGCAGACACGTGCCGACATATTTAGCTAAGCAGGCGACACCTTGGGGGAAATGTGATGGAGTGATGGATTTAGCTGTGAACTCAAGGAACTAGCTAAGCTGTGGGCTTAGTGTGAAACGATTTGTGTCATGTTTGATTTAAGACAAAGACTTAAGCTAAAGCATAAGTTAAAGAGACAATGCGATGTCCTTTGACAAGGCTCAAGTTTAAATATAATCAGCTGAAATGTCTTCTCTCATTGAGACATATGAATGGTGTGTATAAAATATATTTAAGCTTTGACTTATCACATTATTGGTCAAGTATTTGGGTAAAATATATATAAGATTCTATTTCTATTCTATTCTAAGCTACTCTCGCTTTTCAAAAACCTTTAATTATATTTTATGAGCCAATTTTTGTAAGACGGTACAAAACTTGTTCCTCTCCTGGTTGTATTCACTAAAACAGTTGAAGATATGTAAAGTCGAAAATTTATAGATTAAAGTTAACTATTTATTTAAGATTAATATATCATTTTATGAGACTATAATTGTGCTTACGTCTCACAATCGGCATTTTCCCCATTGTCCATTGAGTTGCAAGAAAACTATTGCAAAAAGTAGATATTTTGGCGGGTTTAAAAAGATATTTTTATTTTAAATAAATTATTTAAAAAGATGTTTATCCACAATTTAATTTGAAACCTATTTATATTTTGATAATCCACTATAATTAAATCAATTTTTAATATTTAAGAAACTAAAAATGTTGTAGTTTATATTGAATTTGCCATTTACCTTATTTGACACTTGTTAATAATTCTTTAGCAAGGCATAACCTATTAAATCAACTATAAACTAACATCCAATTTCAAATCTTATACATTTATTCTTCAAAAACTATCTAAATATATAAATATTGAAGATACTTATTTGAGTAAGCCTTTAAAATAAATTTAATAAAACAAGAATTTAAAAAATATTTTTTAACTTTTTTAATTACTTTTAATAATATAAATAATACTAATAAAATCTTATTATACATTATGTGAATAATCTATTTTATGCATCAAAAGTTTAAACATGTTACGTCTCAATATGAATATATATTCAATATTAAATCAAATTTCAATCGTGCCAAAACACCAAAACATAATATTATTATTAAATTCACCACAAAATTTGTCAGAATAACAGTATAAGGAAAATCTTCCATACATAAATATTAAATAAATTATAATTTTTGATCGTGAAAATTAACTCATTTGAAAATTTAAATTTATTTCTTTATTTTTAGCCTTTATATCAAACAAATATATTTAATTTTATATTTTTGTATCTACTCAAAAAAAATTTAAGAACTGAATTGATTTACGATATTCTTAAAATGTATTAAAAACATATTAAATATATTTGAAGAATTAAATTTTTTAAATTATTCACAAAGCTTATAGGTACACAGCATAAACCTAAAAATTTAAATATTACATGTCTTCTTTCGTGTTATCATAAGATTATCCATGAGAAAAACAGTTGAATGAATCAAGATGTAAATTAAGCTAACAAGCATTAAACAGTCGATTAGATACACAAAGTTTTCGCATGTTTTTAAATTGAATAAATTAGAAAGCTCTAGAATTTCTTGCAATTTCGATGCATACAAATTTTTAACACTTTATAAACTTGAGACTCAATTTATTTGTTGAAAGAGTATTTTATTTATTTACGCTTAAGCTGGCCGAAACTCTGTGCCATAATTATGAATCTCATATTTGATAGATTCATAAAGACAACAAAAGCCAATTAAATGTTCACTACGAATACGAATTTATTCAGGTAAATAAATATTTAATGTGCACAAATAAATATAAACAAATGTGAAGTGTGCAGAGTTTTGCTTAGTATAAATGCCAGACATGAACTGAGCTTAAGGCAAACACATTGGCCAGCTTACATTATAAGCCTCGACACGCAACTTCCCCTAAATTATATCTAAGTACTTGTGCACTACACACACTCACTCACAGACACACACACACACACACACCGCACACACATACTCTGCAGTGTAATTATCAAATGAATGGATGATTCCGCATGTCTGCGTACAAAAGTTTCGCACAGTTCATTGCTCTGGGCTGTGGCAGTGACTTGCGGCAAGGGAATTGCT